GCTGTTCTAAGCTCTTACTAAATCATAAAATTTTAAAGTATGCATTATAAGACATATTCCATTAGTTGGATGACAATAATATGATGCATTTATAATTTTTATAGCTTTCTTCTGAAGCAAGTAGACAGATTTTGTGTTGGTCTAAAGAGCAATCCTGGTTTCTCTTTAATGATTATAAATATTAGTAGGAGGCACCCTGTTTATAAACAGCACAAACTAAAGCGACAAATGGTGGTGTTCTTGAAAGCGTCACTCACCAGTGATGTGTGTGAGGGAGGATGTGACGGGGGATACCACCACACCGTCTTGTAGATGTTGACATAGTGGACAAACAGTGCGATGAGGTGGCAGAAGAAAAGGTGCAGCTCAAACAGCACGTTTCGATCCACGGACAGCTCGGGGATCTTGCAGTGCTTCAGAGGAACCAYGGTCTGCGCTGCAAGAGGAGGGCTGGACATGCACGTTCCAGAGCCGTTCCTGCAGACGGAACAGACGTGGTGAGAACTCTACACCCTGCAGTTACGTGATGTTTTATTAAAACGGAGATCAAGACGTATTAAAGCTGCACGACACAAAATGCGATGAAGGGTTTCACCTCGTGCGAGATCGCACCCCGGTGACCGGAGAACTGGTTGTGTGGTTTCCATTGCCAACAGAGCCTGGCTCACTGCTCAGAGGAGGTCTGCAGTATGTGGTACGATTCGTCCCTCTCCTTCCACCGGCCATCGCAGACGCACCCACACCTCGCCTCCGTCAGGTTTGTGCTCAGATGGGTTTCTCTCCTTATTCTGGCACCTGTTCACATTAAAGCTGCAGACACTAAAGGGAAGCAGTCATGCAGTCTTTTATAAACTTTAGGTCATTTATGAGCAATACAGAACAAAAACACCCAAAACCTTCTTTATATTTTGATCCTAAAAAGACAGGCTTTTAAAGTGATTTGGATTAATATTTCTACCAACTTTTTGTTTTGCCTTTGTTCACTGATTTTCTGTGTAGTTCTTGTATCTGACAATAGGGAAGTCAAAATGWGAGTAACAAAGAGGGTTTTCATCATTCATACAATCATCTGCTATGTACCTCTTTGGGTATCACTGTGTTGGTGCTTACTTTGATTTATATATATATATTTTACAAATTTAGCAAAAGAAATGGAAACTAAGCTAAATTAAAAATTTAAATGTACCGGTGGTTCATCATTGCTGTCTGTTGACCAAACACAGGGTCATCCCATGAGTTCATAAAGCTTTTTATGTCGATTCATGATCAAATCTAAGTGGTTCAACAAACAAAAAATATAACATTTTGAACAAATTATGCTGACTGAATATTTTTGTTGTAACTAAACTACTTATATGGGTTATATGTTTGATYTAATCATTATTATTACAGTATGTGTACATCCAAAAGAGGCTTCCAGTAGATTTTTTTATACCATCCTCAACATAGATAGCTTCAGTGTTGAACAAAATTTTCACAAGTTGGCGTAAGTTGTCTAAAAGGTTATAATGTGACGGGGCCTTAAGACTGGTCAGTGGGAAAATGGCATAAATACCAGGTAAGTATCGAGTAAGTCTCCTGTAAGTACCAGCCACATTCTACATAAGTACCTGAAAGGTAACCTGATACACATCAGGTTGTTTTTAGTAACAMTTAAGTACACAATAAGTACTAGGTAAGTACCCAATAGATCAGCATTTCAGGTATGTACTGTGCAAGTACAGGGTAAAGTTTTAAAGTGATTTGGTTTAATCACAGTACACTGTACTTACACTGTACTTGCACAGTACATACCAGGTATGTACTGTGCAAGTACAGGGTAAAGTCACTTCAAAATATAATAAGAACCTGGTAGGTCTTTGTAAGTATTGGACTATATTATGCATTGTTATAAAAATGTTTTAAAGACTTTCAGAAGAAATGCTGATCTGTCAACCAAAGTATATAAAACTACTGAAGCATCGATCTTATCAGTATCTGACTAGATGAAAACTAAGCACCAAACAAAAACAAATTTAACCTCAACAGTTCCCTACCATCACAAAAATCTGCAAAGCAAACCAAGGAAAATGGCCGGGAACTTGCACGCCTTATAAAAATGCGTAAAGCTACAAGTTGTTCATATTCAACAAGTTTGCACAAGCTGCAGAACATCCTAAATTTAGCTGCAAGTTTATGCGGAAGCTGTCATAAGTTAGCTAAGTAGCTACATTTGCTTTCCTGCCTTTAAAACTAAAATACCTGTGGAGCTGTGAGTATTTCAAACACGGAGCACAAGAGCGGGGACAACGTGACCCAAAAACAATGAGACCCCCTGACTGTCGTCCACCCCAGACCACGCTTTAATAAACATCAAGCTTGAGGCCTAAAGCTAACAGGAAGCTAACTGGCTACCATGCTACCAAATCAGGATTAAAAAAAAAAGAGGTCCGCTTACCGCTGGGTGTTTTCACTTAGAAATATTCAGTTCCACAGGTAAGGAGTTAAACCTGAAGATGAGTTTTTAAATCGCTGCCTGTTTTTTCTGTGAAATCTGCAGAGAGAGCCATTGTTGATGTCAAACAAGTCGCTGCTGCTGCTGCTGGTGGGTGGGTGGGTGCGCGAGGATGTTAGCTCGTGGGAGGAGAGTCATTTAAAGGCACATCCAGAGTGCTGGTTTAACTCTGGGGTTTTTATATATGTGTATAAAAGGGACACATTTCCCCCCATATTAATATAAACCTCAGTATTTGTTTTACAAATGAACAAGGATTTAGTAACGATGATAAAAACGATTTCTTGTTGCTTTCATGCTAATAAAATGCTCAAATTCCCCTAAAATACACAGAAAACACCAACAAAGCAACCTGGTCCCCTGCATTAATGTTGACTGGATTTTTTTTGGCACATGTAACAAGAATGAGAAACCTCTTAACTAAAGGGTACAAAATTGCAGCATTGTGAACATGCATGCAAGTAGAAAATTGCCTCAAAGTTTTTGACAGGATTTGACAAATTTTATTTGATATCACAGACTTGCTGCATTTCCCCTCCAACAGATCAATATATCTAAAGATAAAGAGGTCAACACAAGCTGATTGTAAGAAAACACATCAGATCAGTTCTTTTCACAATTTTTATTTAAAAAAATAAAGTAAAAAAAAATCTTTTTTAAAAAAGTGCTTTATAAAAAAATGAAGCAAAAAGGATTAAAAAAAGTAAAAAGTCTTGTGATCCAAAAGCATTGGATATTCAACGCCGATGCAGCGTTCTGTCGAGCATTCTCTCCAAAATGAAACAGAAAAATAGTCATTTTCAGACCAGCACGGTTTACACTTTAGAGCAAAGAAGCCGTCAACCTCTGCAGGGCCTCTCCTCTTTCCAGGGCATCATAAAGCAGCCTAATAAAGACAGAAGCACAATCGTTTTAGTAACTCATTAAAACGCCACAAACGCTTCAAAATGTTCCTTTTCAGCCGACCTTATTGGCTCCATACTCTGGAGCTGAATCCACCAACTGCTCTTTCGTCTTTCTGTCAACCTATCAGGAGAAAGAAAAATGAGACCTGGGCCACGCAAGAGTCCCAATTTCAGACAAGTGAGCAACAAACATGCAAAATTAATTTTAAGCTATAAAGTCTCATGCAACTCAAGCTGAAGGGTTTTTGTCCATCAATGGAATGTTTTTAAACGTTTTAGGTTAAGCTACACATTTAATTTCATTAATCTACAGACTACAGATAAATAACCAAGATGGGAATAAGTATTGAGTGAAATGAAACAATTTTTCTTTTTGTTGAGCAAGAGTTGCATCACAACCATATGATTGTTTTGTGCGTTTTTTTTGCTCGGAGTAAAATACTAAATAATCAGTATAATTTTGTACTTGAATGGTTTTGATGTTTCGGATGACTTTCATTACTTAAATGTTCCCACAGAAAATAAAATAAAATAAAAAAATAAAATAAATCTAATAGATGAGTGTTGGGGTTAGTTTTACCTTCTTGTGGCGATCTTTAGGCTTTTAGAATCCTCTCCTCTGCGATATTTTTCTTTTATAAAAACCAGCCAGCACTGACTTTGCATCAAAGTCAAGTAAGATCCCTGCAAGCTTGATTTGGGAATACTGTTGAAATTCAGTCATTTCAAAGTGGCCGAAGATACAAATGCTCTCGAGAGCTTGGAGAGATACACTAACTAAAGATTAATGACAATACATGTTAAAGCACTGTACCATTTTCAAGTCAAACATGTATTTTGCAGCACATAACCTGAAGGAATGAGCTTTATTTTATGTTTTGAAGGTTGCATTACAAAAGGTCATTTAGTGTTTTTTAAAAAACAGACGAAGAGGATGAGCTCATTTAAAAAACACTGGCTTTTTGTTTTAAAACTATTGAAGATCAGGTTGATGTATACATACAGCTTAKTCAGGACTGTTGGGAGCCGCTGAGGACCATTTTCACAAACTGAAGGCATTCCTTTGGTACAACAAAGGCAAAATACCACGTTTAGAAGGATTAAAAGGAAACTAGAAACTTTATTGAAACACGAACTGCAGAAAAACATATTGGGATGTGTTTAGTATCCTATTTAGGCAAAAGGTACACAAGCATTATGCATTTTGGAGACGGCACGACTTAAAGCACACACAGTTTTCCTAAGGTTATGTACAAAATATTGAGTTGGCTGCAGCCTTCTTTTTCACACAGCAAAGATTAATTGTTCAGAATAAATTTTGCACGTCACAGGATTTAAATTTAAACCAATTGGAAAATGTGGCAAAAAGAGGATTTTATACCTTTTTAAACTGATTTCCACAATATTTTAGCACATTTTAGTACTTGGTAATTTTAACAAAAACTTGAGGTTAATCAAAAATATCTTAAAAGTCTGCATTTGAATTGGTACCTAAATTTGCTTTTAGTCACAGTAAAGTTACACTGAAGCAGTATTGAGAGGAATTTGTGTCCATCCATTGAGGACTTTTGAAAATGCAGCCTACATAAAAAAACGTTTATCGCCACAATCACAGTTTGTTCAGAAAAACCATTTAACTAATATAATCACCAATAACACTAAAATGTCACACTCTTTTTGTATCTTAGGTTTATGCTACTAAGACTTTAACTACGCAACTGAAACAATAAATGGATATAAACAATTTTAAAAAAAAAAGAAGAAATTCTGCGTTCATGTTTTTT